TATATATGTATATACACACACACATATATATACACATGTATATATACACATATATACATACACATATGTATGTATACATGTGTATATATACATATATATACATATATACATACATATGTGTATGTATATATGTATATATATATAATTGCATATAACTATATTTGTTAAATATATATTCATTATATATACACATAAAAGAAACATCTTTTCTAGCAACAAGATAAAAGGCTATAAATTATTTTCTACTGACCTTTAGTAACCAAAGCACATATATTTGAGATAATAGACTCAAATTATGATTAATATTTGTGTTAAAAGATTTTGTTATATACATTTGAGATATAAAACTTTAAAATTCAACATCTGTATACACTACAAAATGATCACCACCTCACCACCTCAAGTTTCATTACCATCCATCACCATACAGTTGACCCTTTTTATCCATTCTGCCCACGCCCAACTTCCTCCGTCTCTTTACCAGTAGTCTTTTCTCTATGTCTATGAGTTTTTATTTTGCTTATTTATTGTTTTGTTTTTAATTCCATGTGAGTGGAAATCATACAGTATTTGTCTTTCTCCATTTGACTTATTTTACTTGGCTTAATAGGTCTGTTACCGAACCCAAGTTCGGCTATCCCTGGTTGAAATGCCATTACTGAAATGCCATGGTTGAAAGGCCATTACTCAAGAGACAAATTTTTGATTGGAAAGGAATTTGAGCTTTATTCAGGAGGCCAGCAACCTAGGGAGAAGGCAGACTCTTGTCTCCAGAGGTTTCCACCTGGCCCAAGGGTTTTTAAAGGAATTTAGGGAACTTAATTAGCAAAGGGAGTACAGTGGCCTACAATATTTCTTGATTTCATATTGACTCAATGATGCCAGCTACATTTTCTCAGTTCTCCAGAGTTGAGCAAGGGGGGTTTCTGTTTGTGTTTTGTGATGTGTAACAGTACTCTGTTCTTGCTGCAAAGGTCAGCAAGGTCTTCAGGTACACAAAGGGAGTTAAGTAAAATCATCTATGTGACCTAGAAAGAAAAACAATTTGCTAAACAATAGGTAGGCTAATCAGATAGCCGAGGTGGCTTCAAACAGACTTGCTGGCTTCTGTGGCCTGGAAAATTTCTGGTTCTTCACTCCTTAAGTCCAGTGGCCTGCAAATCAAAGAAAATAAATTAATTCTGTTATACATCAAGGGACTTAGGTTAGCAAGTAAGGAATATGTTAACTCTTAAGACTGTTTGAAGTGCTGTTACAGGTTCATCCATGTTGTCACAAATGGAAAGATTTTGTTCTTTTTTATGGCCAAGTTGTATTTATTCCATTGTATAAGTATGCCACATATTCTTTAACCATTCATCTATTTTAATGGTTATAATTGGCACTCAGCATCCATTACTGTCTATTGTGGTTTCTGTACTGCAGAGACAAGAAGACGAAAAACTGCAATATCTAGACTTCCACTGAAGCTGATGTGAATAGAAATTGTGTTCCATCAATAATAAATATACGTGAAATGTAGATGATCTAGTGGAGATCATTTCTAGATGTCTTAGCAATTTCATATGGTGGATAAGATCATGGACACGTGAGATTTTCTGAGTCTCTGACTTTGTATTAAAATACAGAACCATCTGGAATGGCAGTGGGACTCTATAATGTAGTGTTCAATCACTAGCTTCAGCGTAGAAAGGGGCAGCCAGGGAGATCATGCTGGCTGCTTCCTGGTAATCCAGCTTCCTTTATTTAGTACAATGAGTTCTTAAACTGAATAATTCCAATGTTGGCTTTTATGTTTCTCAATTTCCTGATTATAGTTGAGGTAGTATCTCCCAGAGAGTCATATCTGTGGTTCTTAGAGTTACTCCTACAGCCCTTCCTTCTAATAATTTTGGAAGCATCTTATTCTTGGTTATTATGACTCTTTTTGCTTGAATACCTAGAGTGGTTTCTGTTTCCTGTGCTAAATCTTGACTAGCTTATATTGTATCCTAGTTTGTAGTTTTTGAGCAACACATCCATAATGTTCCCCGCAGCTTAACTGCACTTTAGACAGGCCTCAAGACTCCATGCTCCTGACCTCCCTTTCTTCAGAGCATTTGCTTTAGAAAACTAGTAATTGTAACTTTTTTCTCTGCCCCTGAAATGTAAACTTTCTTTCAGCCTCTTGCCAATTTTACAATCCAGAAATGTCTTTCTCAAGTACCAGGGAGTCATCCTTTTGAAATGTAATTACAGAAAAGGATAGGGCCTCTCCCTCCCCAACTAGGATCTGCGGAAAGCTAGGAGCCCACTGTTAATAAGTGACAAGTACCAAACACAGATATACAAAGCACTTTGACCAACCTCTCCCCCAGCCCAGTATCCTCCAGTATTTTCCCATTAGCTCACTCCAGCATTTGAAAATCCTCCCACCTACCTTTGGTTCAGTGCAGTTAAATTCCATCTCTTTCCCCTGTTTCAATAATCTCTTTCTTTCTTATTGAAATACTCTTGAATAAAGTCTTCCTTGTCTTTTTAACTGGTATGATGATTTTCTTTTCTTTCACAGTTCTCATCTTATGGTTTAAAGTTTTGTAATGTCCTTCATAATATTAGAAGCAAGAGGAAAAATACTTCATCATTTTTAATTGTTTAAACTATATTGTGAACTGTTTTATTCAATCAAAAGAATATATAATTAAGGAATATTTATTTTATAAAACAATATAATAAACATTTGTGTACCTTCCATTGGCTTCAAGGAATAGAATATTAGCAGTAATTCCAGCCTCATCTATATTACTCACTGAATACATTAATATCCCCCTACCCTAGAGTGACTGTTCTGAGCTTTATATTCAACATTCCCTACTGTTCTTCTTTAGAGCTTTATTTTATATATGTATATCGCTAAGCGATGTTATTAAGTTTGTATGTATTTGACTTTTACAAGAACAGTTAATCAATGTAAGTATTTTTATGGAATATGCTTTTATGTTCAACAATATGTTGGATATTCAACCTGTGAGAGACTGGTCATAGTGGCTTTTTATAAGCCCTGCAAAAATGTTTTTTTTCTGTATCACCTTTTATAGCCTCCATAGTAGAGTTGCCTACAGAATCAACTCAGCATATGAAAGAGCATTATGAAGTGAAGTGAAAAGAGTTTTGGATGTGGATTTGGTAAATTTAGTCTTTTGGCACCTCATTCTGAGTTTGATCTGGACTCTGCCAAATCTTTTAAACTCGTGTCGTGTTTTTCTTCTTACAATGCTGTTTTGCATTAAATCACCTCTAAGCACCTCAGAATACTTATGTAATTGTTCTCTTATAATTTATCAAAGAGGAACAGTGAGACTATATTGCTAAGCAGGAACAAGAATAAGAATGCATTTCCCGATAGCCAGAGGTCAGATTAAATGCTGTTGAATAATACATAGAAAAATAAGGCTTGAATATTTGCAATTACAGTATGCATTATAGTATACATAGGCAGTATACAATTATAGTATAGATAGGCAGCTAGTAACAGCTGCCTCTAAAGACTTATTGTCCCTATGTAGAATGGTATTTTCAAGTTAAAATGTTCCTAACATATTAAGGATCATTGTAAATAGATCCCTTATAGGAAAGAATCAATGATTTTTAAAAGTGTTCTTAATGTATAACTAGTAAACTATAGTTTTAATATTATCTTGGGGATAGCTTAGCAATGTTGGTTGATAGGTTGGTGATAAAATAATGGCAAAAGCCAAAGAAAAAGGGCAAACACACAATGTTTTAATTTGGAATATTACAATGTTTAAGCATTCTTACTGCTGATAATGAGCTGAACATAGACATATTATTTAAATTCTGTAGAAGTACAGCATAAGAAATACTTACTGTAAAATGCTACAAGTATTACAAGAAAACATTTTATATCCAGGAATATGGAATAATTGCTTTCCTTTGAGTTTAAGATTCATATTAAATGGAAGTATGAAATCTGTTTATTCCATTACCTTCTATGTATTTATTCCAAGGTAAAATAAAGATATTTGGATAGGTGATGTAGAATGGCACCATAGGTACAAGCCAAAACTTTATTTTACATATAAAGTAAATTTGCTTCCATTTTTATATAACTGTGTAATTTTAGGGGAAATTATTTATATTCTCTAAGTTTAATATTCTCATCTACTGAATAGAGATAATAATATTACTACCTGATATAATATAATTATAATTATAAAAAATAGTAAGAGTATTGTTAACTATACATAAGCTATTTATTATATTATTATTAAAAATTGAATATATGTTTTGTGATTGTGTTTAACAGGGTGGTCAGGACATCACTGTGATAATGGACTTGAGGAGTGCATTTCCAAATTGTGTGTGCATGGAATACGCATAGAAAATGAACCTGACTTTGGCTCAGAATGTTTATGCATATCTGGATTTGTGGTAAAGACTATTGATGGTTTTGTTGTGATACTTTTTTCATTGCTTCTGAAATATGGTGAATAATAGAAAATTCTTTGGTGAGAAATTAGGTTGGAAAAGTTAATATTAGTGTTTCTTTCTCTGACTGTACATGCTGCTTCTCAGCATTCCCTTTTCCTTTCTTGTCCATTCATCACAACCACCCTCAGCCTTTCCTTTCAGGAGAAAAGCATCCTGATAAATTGATTCACACTAAGGTGCAAGTCACTTAATGTATTGTCCTTTAATGTTTTAATGCATTTGGAAGGAGGATGCCAGTAGAGAAATTACTTAATATTGTCAGAGTCTTGGCAGAACCTCTATTTTGCCCAAGGGCATAGCACTGCTTCCAGAGTTGGGCTCAGAGTATTGTATGTCCAAGGAGAATGAATCTGCTTTCTTTGCAAGTCTGGACTGGCCCGAACTCCATTAGCACTGGAATAGACTTACCTTGGTAGCAATGTCTCTATTAAAAAATAGCTTCTGACCACAATCCTTTATTAAAACTGACCACAGCACATGAATATAGTAAGCGAACAGCAATTGGCAAGACTATGATGTCAGGAATTTTAAATGTATATTTATAAATGTCATTAAAGGATAGACCAGTCTAAGATGAGATTAAGGCTCCATAATTAGAGAGGACACACAGTTAGATGACCCAGTGCAAGATTAAGGACTCAGACTTAAAAGGAAGATGAGACCTGCCCAGTGCCTAAGAAAGATGCACAAGTATGGGTAGAACTAGACTCCTTAGAGCTGGAAGATGAGAAAGGAAGAGTCAGAAGTAGGAGTCTCCAGAAGTAGTCAAGGAATTGAATGGAAAATGGTCAGTAACTGTCATCAAAAAATAATTTGAGAAAGCCTGTGCTTCAGTCAGATACTCTTCCCTTTTGAGGGTATTCCCAAGGTTCATCTGGCTGAGAGAGATATGTATAAGCTAAACCAGAACTGCCACCTTCCTGAATTTTTAGAGTCCTCCTACCCTGGTTCTGCTCTGGGGAAGGGTGTTTTTCTTAGTGATCACAGAAGGACGATCTTTGGGGAAGAATTTTAGGCACTCTGATACGTGAGTGTGGAAAGTATTTGGTGACAAGAAGTTAATTGTATGATGCCTCAGATTATACCAATGTTGGCTTCCTCAAAGAGATAGTAGAAAGAAAACAATCTGAAATAAATCCTTTATTTTTTAACTAAATTCTCCTGCCAATACAGACTGGTATATAGAAAATAAATCGTCATTTCATAAATGTTTTTATTGAACACAAAGAATTTACTACCAAGTACCCTTAAAATTTCTTTCAATAGTTAATACCCTGGGATATAACTTTTCACATTGGAATATGAATCAATTAATACTTGTATATTAGTATACTTATATATTAGTATATATTGAAAATATAAAAATCTTGAAAAATATGTGGTTTTATAAAACCACAAGTCTACTAAGTAGAAGGAAGTGTCATCTATATTTTTAAGGCATTTAATAAGTTAATTTGAAATTAGTATTCTTATACTTTCTCAAATACTTTAAAGCTAAAACAGAACTAAAAAAACCTTACTATTATAAGAGAGAGTGGGTAAAAAGCTGTAAGGGAGATTCAACTTTGTTAATGCATTAGTCATGTTCTAAAATGAGTAGATAGAGGAAATTTGATTTATTGAAAAATAATTTAATATTTAAATGTTATACATATCAATGGTCTAACAGTACAGACATTTAAAATTAGATATACTTAAAAGTATATCCTTGAAAATAGAACATAAATTATCAATAGGAATAAAACGCAAAATATTTTGAAGAACTATAAGAAAATCAAAGAAAATGTTTAAAGTCTTTGTTGGAATGACAGAAATTTTACTGCCAAGTTAGAATCCTAAATATTGAAATAAGAGAATGACAAAACTATTTTGGAAACAGGTATGACAAATGTATAAGATCATTGAAAAATTGCCTTAAATTTATTTTCTCCCTTTTACAACTAATCTTGAGAGTAAATGGGATATGAAAAAAAAATAAGAATCATAATCCTGATGTCAAACTTCTTTAATTTCTTATATTCTTTAAAAGAATGTCATTCACAGAAAGGTATAAAATTTGAGAGAATCTTAAGAAACAAAGCAGTTCAATGGATTAGAAGACAAGTAAATTTATTTGTATTAGGATTAGGATTAAGTGTGCATGTAGAGTTTGGTGAACATGAAAACAGTGGACATAGGGAATAATTGACAATTCACAGAGGGGATAGGGCATGGCATTCTAGCAGCAGAATAGGCAGAAAGAGACTAAATATTACACCAGTTAACATGTTCTAGTAAAATATTTGCTTATTTCTCTGTCCACTCTGATAGGCTGTGAACTCAAGCTGGTATAATTTTAGTATCCTTAACAGCACAGAATATAACATATATTTTTTTTATCTTAGTCGTCATTGAAATTGAAATTGTTTTATCAAAGTCCTAGCATATTAATCATAGTTGTTTTAAATTTCTAGTCTGATAATTGCAAAATCTCTCCCATACCTGAGTCTGATTTTGGTGCTTCTTCTGTCTCTTCAAATTGTACTTTTCATCTTGTAATATGCCTCATGATTTTATATTTATAGCCAGACATGGTGTCCTGGGTCTAAGTAACTGAGATAAATAGATCTTTAGTGTAAGACTTTATTTTCATTTGGCTAGGAGTCAGGCCATGTTTGCTGTTTGCTGTAGCTATTAGGTGTCAGAGGCTAAAATTTTCTGCTGATATCACCTTGTTTTTATCTTCCCCGTAATCATTGGGTTTTCTTAGGACTTCTTAAATAGACATGAGATGTGTAGCTCTTTTAGTTATACCCCTTGTTATTACAAGAGACCTCTCTTGATGTAGTTAACATGTGGAGGGAGGAGAAGCTTTCAAGAGTTCTATGATTAGGTCTGACTTCTAGTGAGACTGTGCCTCACGCCTGGGCTGTGACGTTCACCTGTGCTTCTCAGTCCTCCTCTCCCTTAGACACAACAAGAAAACTTCAGGAGGCTAGAACTGAGTATTTCCTTTCTCCCAGATTGATTAGGCTCTGGTAAAATAGTTTTCCTTCAGCTCAGGCCTTGCTAAGAAGAACATAATATTCTGGCAGAATTTCAAAATGGCTATTCTCTCCCCCTGTTGGAAGCACAAAGGGATTTTTCTCCTATCTTCACTGTGAGAACATGGAGGTAAAACTTAGGAAAGTTATGGAGGATCCCCTAAGACTGGACACCTCTGGAGTTTTGAACTCTCAAGATTGTCCAGCATTTTGAGAATTACCGTGTGCTCTCGTGCCCTGCTACTCGCTCCAGCAGTGGTTTCTGCTCCTGAGTGTCTGTTTTGGTGAGCTATGATTCTCTGTATCTACCTGACTGACCCACTAATTTGGCAGAGAGCAGTTTTCCTTGTGACTCCAATTCTCTGATGGGTCTAAGGAGAGTTCTTGATTTTTAGTTTGTTCAGCTTTTTATGTTTATGAAGAAGGGAAGGATGACTTGCAAGCTTCTCGCAAGCTAGACCAGAAACCAGAAGTTTTATTACTGTTTTAAGGGACATATTTAATAAGGTTATGAGGTGAGTTTTCCTCCATTCATGAAATTCAGTGTATCTTTTAAAAAACTGATTTCCTTTTTCTAATTAAGTTTCCCAGGTCTCTCACCTCAAATGATTGCTCCATTTTCCAGAGTTGCTAGACATTTTTATGGAAAAGATGCCAATTTATCTGGCATCCAATTCCCCACTAAATTGTAGAAACTAAAAAATTATAAATCATCTCGCACAAATAAGTATACCAGTTGCTACCACATGTAATCTGTGTTAAAGTGCATTAAAATATATCAGATTAATGGGGATATCTGAGCATTGAATTTCTGAATATAACTTGATACAGCAGACCTTATTACAAACTACTAAGCCTTTTATTAAAATAATTTATAGCAATTCTCTTTACATTAAGTCTGTTTATGTTACCTTCTCTCTGATGTCCCTATTCAAATAGATCTCCAGAAAAATGCCACATTCTATATTCTTTCTATTTAGGCTATTTTATTTAAAAACTCTCACTAATTACATTGCCATATAAAAATGTTAACTCAGCTGCATGTTTATGTGATTAGAGAAAATTAATATTACTGCAATTATTATTTGTTTGATAATGAAGAGTAATTTGAGAATTAAATAGCCCCTACTGAATAGGAGGATAGTAATCTATTTTTTTCCGTATTTCTAAGAATTAAATTTTAGTAGATAATATGAAAGACCTGAACTCTTGGGTTTTTTATAATGTTTAGGGCTGTGACAGTCTCTGACAAACTGATAATTAGTGTGGATTATTCTTTTTAGCAGAACTTATTTTAAAAGTGAATCAAAACATAAAGTGCTGATATTATTCTAAAATTCAAATGCTCTGCAAAAGAATGTAAATGACAGAACACAACTTATTGAATATCCTAAGCTTGCTAAGAAAATTCAAGACAAGTGATCTTCCTCCTTTTATTTGATCAGCATTGCTCATTTTTTCCTCAGTAAATGAATTTCACCAGGCAATATTGATCCATACCATACATTAACCAATGACTGTCAATGGGTCATACTTATTGCGTTTTGCAAATGATGGTCAACAAAAGTGTTAATTGCATTCTTTAAATTAAAACGAATCTTTATGTAGTATAGAAGCTGTATTTGTATTCAACAAAATGGAGGAGAGGGGAGGAAAATCTGTTTTCTGAATAAGGAAAAAATGCTCTGAGTTCTACAGCAGTCCAGTCTATTTGCAATTTCTTATTTTTAAATGTCATCTTATAAATAGACCTGAAAGCAAGACATAGGATAGCAAGATAGACTGTTTGATTTGATGTTTGTCTAGAGTTCTGTGGTTTATTTTTCATGATATAAAGTCATTGATGTTGTTAATGAATATTTACAAGTATTTATTGTGTTCAAGATCCCATTATTCGCCTATTAAATAATTAAAATA